GACCCTCAAAATATGTACGACAACCTTATTTTACTATGGTAGTTTAATTCAATTAACCGATAAAATTAAAGAACAAACTTAAAATAATAAATTATTGAGGGGACTTAAAAATAGCCCCTTCGGTTGGAGATTGTATATATATGTCCTGACACTGTTCATTAAAAAATAATTTCTGGTAGGGCTATAATCTGATCAGGAGTTAAACATATTCTCTTTGGTTGAAGATGGCCTTATTGCCAGTCCCTAAATGTGACCAAAGCTTTTATTAATAAAAACTGCTAACTATAAGATTTGAACTTCATGTGACGACACAAGTAAAACTCTAGTTAAAAAAGGTGGTGGAAAAATTTTGGAGGACTTATTTGTAAATTTTCCTTTTCTCTCTGCCAGTCAAGTATATATACAAATTATTTACATGCATCATTTGGTTGAGAGATTTTTCAATGTGATTGAAATATGGAGTGGTACATCATGTGTCACTATAGAAATAGTGGGACATATGTGTTAAAATGTTAATAACTTAAAAAATAAAATTTCTCACCGCTTATATAAAAACACGTGATGTACCACTCATGTTCCGATTACAATAAAAAATTCTCCCATTTGAGAACAAGTCAAATGAATGTTCAACCAGTTACATACTAACTTGGAGTTTCAATTGGTCGTGAAAATATGCAATGCATGGTTCAAATTTGACATATTTCTTGTGATTTTTTTTATGTAAAACGACACACTTCTCTGTGGATACTTTATTATAATGTCGTTTATTGTCAACATCTTTTGCTGGCAGTGGGCAGTTTTGTGTGGTTTTGGGAAGCCTTTGTGGGCTGTGGAGGTAAAACCATTGCAGGAAGAACGATGCAGTGAATTTTACTGGTGCGAGCTAAATGGGTAATTATTGGTAGTGGGGAATGAGGGGATTCAAGTATAACGACTGTGATTGAGAAATGAATAGTGGATATAATTGTAAGTTGACCAAACCCCATTTAGTATAAGAGTGTTTAAGGAGAAAGAGACGCCAGACAGAGCAAACAAGTGGAATTTGCAATTTTGAGACTTAAAATAATTATATTTCATTTTACAACAATAAGCGAATTCGAATTTAAAGCATCTTTTTGGATAATAGATAATAAACTTTTATGTGTGACTATAAAGACGATTTATTATCTAAGTGAGTTAGGACGCTACGGATATAAATGAATTAAAATGATAGATAGAATGGATAGGTATGGACTACTATCTCCTAGTGCGAGGAGAGGCTTGAAAACCCTATAAATTTTGGTTCTAGTACTAGCTTACAACGTAGACACTAGAAAGAATAAAGCAGCAGACTCTTACGAAGAGAAAGACACATAAAAACGAGTTTACAACTCAAATATCAATATGATAATTCAAACAACTTCTCCCCTTCTTTTTTACAAATACAAGTATTTATAGGCTTACAACTTAAAGTGAAAAATATGAAAAGACATAAAAAATAAAGGCTTACAATATAACTCCCAACAAACTAAATGATTTCATAAAATGCCATTAACCTAGGAATTTCATAAGCCACAAATTTAAAGCTAGATACATGCATTATAACTCTAAAAATGCATGTATTATATTATAAAATTTAAATCCCAGCTACTAGTAATTTTATGTAATAACGCATTCAGTCCTTGGCCTGCATCATTCTAGTGGGGTTGGAGAGAATTCGTCCTCGAATTCGGATCATCATCTGATTTGGAGCGATAAAATTGAACTATGCCGGTCCAAACAAATAGATATTTGGAGCATTTAATATTGATTGTTGAAGTGTGAAAAGCACCCTTAATAGCATACCTTGCAACCTTGACATTCTCTTTCATTTGATTTATAATGTCAACCAAAACTTTGGAAATTGTGAAGTAGAAGACATCAACCCCAATTAAATCAACATCTCCAGAAGTTTCCAATGAACTCATTAAATCATGAAACTCCAACTTCAAAAATTCTTTTTAATCAGTATTTTTCATAATTAGACAAGATTCCATATCAACATTTCGTTGAACCACACAAGAACTTTGACAACAACCGTGATAAGGGAGAACGATCAAACTCGGGAGGAATCACTTGAATAATGTTCACAACATATTGGACATGAACTATCCAAGCAACGATCAAATACTGGAGGAAGGTCCAAATTAAGATCTTCATCTAATGGCATCTGCGACATGCTGAATATAGCGTCACCCTTGGATTGAGTTGACGCTCTAATACCAACTGATGCAGAGCGTAGCAGACAAAAACAAATTAAAATGATAGATAGAATGGATAAGTAGGGTCCATTATCTCCTAGTGCGAGTAGAGGCCTGAAAACCCTATAAACTTTGGTTCTAATAACAGCCTACAACTTAGACAATAGAAAGAACAAAGTAGCAGACTCTTACAAAGAGAAAGCAACATAAAAACGAGTTTACAACTCAAATATCAATATGATAATTCAAACAACTTCTCCCCTTCTTCTTTACAAATACAAGTATTTATAGGCTTACAACTTAAAGTGAAAAATATGAAAAGACATAAAAAATAAAGGCTTACAATATAACTCCTAAAAAACTACAAATGATTTCATAAAATGTCATTAACCTAGGAATTCCATAAGCCACAAATTTAAAGCTAGATACATGCATTATAACTCTAAAAATGCATGTATTATATATAAAACTTAAATCCCAGCTGCCAGTAATTTTATGTAATAACGTCTTTAGTCCTTGGCCTGCATCAGTCACTAAGATTATCAAATAATTTTGTTTCTACTTGTAAGTGAGAGGTTAGGTTTAACTCTTGTGAATGACGAGTTTAATACCAAATTATTATGACTGTCTTATTTTGTTGTTTATAAAAATATTTCATTTATTAGTGTAAATATATCGTTGTATTGAAAAGAAAAATCTAACACTTTTACACACTTAAGAAAAAAGAATCGAAATGGAAAAGAGTTCATTAATTGAATCTGTGTTCATAATTCTTCCCTTTCAAACAATTAAAACGTTATACAGATATTTTCTTCATTTTCTCTTGAACAAAATTAATGATGTTAATTAAAAAAACTTACAACACATTAAATACGTGTACAAAATTCGAGTCTTAGCAAGACTGCAAGAACAATAACCCGTAAGGCAAAAATAAGAGCATCTATAAAGGAGATATCAAATTTTAAACATCAAAATGATAATTAATAGCTTATGTGGCAATTTGACATTTTGTACAATATTTTACTTCACCCGATATGTTAAATAATAATATCATTTAATAATTTTTTTTATCATTTTGTGGAGTTCAATTAATATGGCAACCAATCAAATATTTCAAAAACACAACAACATTTATTATGTATTATATTAATCTATTAAAAAATCATTTAATAAATTTGACATTTACTGTCAAATTTGACAACAAAAAGCTTTGTCTTCAAATGACTCAGCGCCAGGTAAGAAACTGAAGGCTCGGTTGGAGAGAGTTTGCTGTTATTTTTTACTGTTGTATGCCTACGTGACAATTTTGACATCTCCTTTAGAGATGCTCTAAAACATACAAAATCTGCAAAAACAACTAAATTGTATGTAATTTATTTATAATCAATCATTTTTCAAAAATATTCAACGAGATATTACAATAAAGCATCACTAATCGCAAAGCAATGAGTAATCTTCAAACACTAGTTCGAGCTCATCGGGATCCGCACGATTACACAGATAAATAAAACTGTTAAACTATGTGTTACAAGGAGATGATGTGAGAACAAAATCTCAAACCATAAATTGGGATTAAGAGTACGATGCCCATGAGTTTATCGCATCACCTAATCACCGCCACGATCCCAGAACACCAAATAAAGTAGATCCAGCAAATCAAACAGCTCCACCAAATTTTCCACGTCAAATTTTGAACATGGGCAACCACGCTTTAGCAGTTAGATTATCTCAACGATTCAAATTGATTCTTGATTAGATACGGTTTAGATTCGATCCAACTACTTAAACAATACGAATGTTTAAGCGCTCGCTCCTACAAGGTTCCGTAACTAACTGTCAAAAATATATTATGTCTATTTATTTCCTTCTCAACAAAATTTCTTAGCAGGGAAGTTAATTAACCCTCATTTAGGACGTGTAGATTTTAGATTGGGCTAAATCTAAATTGGACCAGATTGTTAAGATATTCTTCCATAATTTAATTGCATACCATATTTCTTTACCAAAACTACATACCATATCAAATGAACTTTTATTTATTTATTTAAGGAACTATAAATCATCTTTGTATTGTCTGAACAAAGGGACAGTAAGAAAGTTCAAATCACAGCAAATATCTTAGATTTTAGCTGGAAAATCCAGACCTCTTGTAAAGAAATAAACTTTTGTACAAGATCCCATTTACCAGTACCAAAGCTGAGACAGAGTCATAAATCCGAACCTCCCAGTCCCAGAAGAAAAAAGTATGAAAAAGTTACAAATGTTGGACTGTTTTTTCACAGACTTTCAGAGAGAGTGAGAGAGTCAACCGGCCTTTTTGGAGCTTTGTGTTTGTAAGGCTTCGAAGTGTCCACATGGTGCGTTTTATCTTCACCTCTCGCTCTCTCTCTCTCTCTCTTCGTCTTCTCTCTCTTGCTTTTTTCTTTTTTTTTTTTTGCTTTTCCTTTCTCTCTCTGCAACAAATCTTGGAAAAAAATTAAGCCTTTTCCTTTCCTTTCTCTCATTTTTTTTTAAATTTTCTCAGGCCCTTTTGGAATAGTCAAGCATGCAGTGGAAGCAGCGATAAACACTCTCACCTAAAAAACTAGGGTTCCCCCATTTAGTTTTCCTCCAAACCAAACAGCAGTCATTTGAGGCCCCCTTCTGGTGCTTAGCTGTTTTCGTGAGTTTTTAGAGAGAGAAAGTTTGAGAGAGGGATAGAGAATGAAGAGCTAAGCAGCTGGAGATACCCAAAAAGGGCTTGCTTGCCTTCTTTCTCTTTCTTTCTCTCCAAAACCAAACCCTCCCCAAACTGTGCAAGAGAGGGAGTTGGAGACACTTGGGTTATCCCTGAAACGTTTGTCTCCTTTGCCTCTCTGTGCTTTCCTTTTTCTTCCAATTTATTTTCCGTCCAAATATTTTTGAGAGAGAGAGCAAATTAAGTGGCTGTAAATTTGTTAAGAAATAGGAGCAAAATCTGGAGTGAGAGACGACAGGAGTTTGGTTTGATAGGGTTGAAGAACAAAAGAAAAAAGAGTCTGGGGTTTTTATTTTTTTATTTTTTGATGAGTTTTGGGGGTTTTCTGGACAACAGTGCCGGCAGTGGTGTCGGTGCAAGAATCGTGGCTGACATTCCGTACACAAACAACAGCAACAACATGCCCTCCAGTGCAATCGCTCAGCCACGCCTTGTCACTCAGTCTCTCACTAAATCCATGTTCAACTCTCCGGGACTCTCACTTGCCCTAGTAAACATCTCTCATTTTTTCATTTTTTTTGATCGATTTTTCTTTGTTTCTGATGAAATGGCCTGAAATCTGATCTGGGTTTTTGTTATTTTTTGGTTCTGATTGTGTATTTATTTTATTTTTTGGTTATATATTATCAGCAGACAAATGTGGATGGGCAAGGAGATGTGACGAGAGTGGCTGAGAATTATGAGGCAAACAACGGCGGGAGAAGGAGCAGAGAGGAAGAGCACGAGAGCAGATCTGGGAGTGACAACATGGATGGTGCTTCTGGGGACGATCAAGATGCCGCTGACAACCACCACCCTCGTAAGAAGAAGCGTTACCACCGACACACCCCTCAGCAAATCCAAGAACTTGAAGCGTATGATAATAAAACCCCCATTTTTTTTCGTATTTATTTATTTATTGTTGTTGCATAAACTGATTAACTTTTTGAGTTCTTGTTTAATTATTTTTTATTATCTGTTCGGTTTTTGGTGGGTTTTTAGGCTGTTCAAAGAGTGCCCTCATCCTGATGAGAAGCAAAGATTAGAGCTGAGCAGAAGGCTTAACTTGGAGACTAGACAAGTCAAATTCTGGTTCCAAAATCGCCGAACCCAAATGAAGGTAAAATATATACATCTCCTTTTCCCCCTTTTTTTTTATTTTTTATTGTTTTATCGCTTTCAGTCTCATTTTTTTATTTATATTTTGCTTTGATGTTGATGGAGTTTTGATTGTGCTGGACTTTCTAGACGCAACTGGAACGCCACGAGAACTCGTTGCTGAGGCAAGAGAACGATAAGCTCCGAGCGGAGAACATGTCGATTCGTGAGGCTATGAGGAACCCAATTTGCTCAAACTGTGGTGGTCCGGCGATTATTGGAGATATATCACTAGAAGAGCAGCACCTCAGGATCGAAAATGCTCGATTGAAGGATGATTTGGACCGAGTTTGTGCACTCGCCGGAAAGTTTCTAGGCCGACCCATTTCATCCCTGGCTGCATCCATGGGGCCTCCGCTCCCGAGCTCCACTTTGGAGCTCGGAGTTGGGAGCAATGGGTTTGGTGGGATGAGCAATGTGGCTACATCGATGTCCATGGGAAATGATTTTGGAGGTGGGATTGGGAGTGCTATGTCAGTTGTGTCTCATGGCAGGCCTAGTGTGACGGGGCTAGACCGGTCGATGGAGAGATCAATCTTTCTAGAGCTTGCCTTGGCTGCCATGGATGAATTGGTTAAGATGGCTCAGACGGATGAGCCCCTTTGGCTTAGGAGCTTAGAAGGTGCAAGGGAGGTTTTGAACCATGAGGAATACATGAGAAATTTCACTCCTTGCATTGGATTGAAACCGAATGGTTTCGTCTCCGAGGCTTCTAGGGAGTCTGGAATGGTCATCATCAACAGCTTAATTCTTGTTGAAACTTTGATGGATTCGGTAATAATCCAAACACTTTGTGTTGAAAGTGTTGTAGCAATGAATGAAGATGCTTTTCTGATTTGGTACTTGTTGGTGCTTCCGATGCTTGTTTAATTTTTTGCTTACTTTATGTTCAAACTTAATTCTCGTTTTGTTTGATTTGTTCTTTCACAGAATCGATGGTTGGAGATGTTTCCTGGTGTGATTGCAAGAACCTCAACCACTGATGTGATTTCCAGTGGCATGGGAGGAACTAGAAATGGTGCACTTCAACTCGTAAGTACTTTATTGTCAGTCGGTCCTAAAGAAAAAAAATAAAAAATTTATCTGAATTATTCACATTTCAGATGCACGCTGAACTGCAAATCCTATCGCCTTTGGTTCCGGTTCGTGAGGTCAATTTCCTCCGTTTCTGCAAGCAGCACGCAGAGGGCGTGTGGGCTGTGGTTGACGTGTCGGTTGACGCCATCCGTGACACCTCCGGGGTACCGACATTTATGAACTGTAGGAGGCTCCCTTCTGGCTGTGTTGTGCAAGACATGCCCAATGGGTACTCTAAGGTAAAATTAGTACTAATGTCCTTATCAGTCTATTAAATTAATGTACTTTCTCTTCTAATAAAATAGAAATCAAACTTACTAGCCTAAACATGCAATTTAGCGGTCAGAAATCACGCAAAAATCATCCATGCCCTCGTGATGCGGGCATGGATGATTAACCGCGGCACAACTCAAGTACACAGTTTCAGTTACATTACATGGTTCTTATTTGTTTGGTTCAAATTTATTGTGCTTTTCCCAAGTGGTTGTGTTCTTCCCCTTTGCTCTTTAATGAGTCTGTTGAAGTAACTGCAACATTGTGGCTTAGTTATTTATGTCAAATATCATGCAATTTTCTTCGTTCTCCAAAGCCACCACTTAATTAATTTAATTAATTAAGAAAAGCTCATGCATCAAAGAACTTTCTTTGTCTAGTGATTACTCACTAGATCACCACACTGTCTCAGTTTCTTTGATGGTTTTTTTTTTCACCAACCTAATAATTAATGCCCTCTCCAAGAATCGGAACCTTCCTCAAAATCTTATCATCTGGTCTCAAATCTTATTCTAATAATTTTAAACAATTCCGATCCCATTTTTTAATCAACCCTAAAATATTATTATTAATTTATTTATTACACTCCCTAGGATTTGAGCCCCCAATTTTTTATTCATGAGAAGCCTCCATTACCAAATTTTTGAACACATTAATTTCATATAATCCTCAATAACCCCAATTGCCTTGCAATCAACCATCGCGGGGTGGCTCAGTGGTTGGAGACGAATTTCAAGCTTGTATTTTACATGGCATGTCTTGGTTCGAATTTTGATGTTAGTGAATTACACGATGGTGACCAGGAGGAGGCTAAAATACCTCTGTAAGTTTTCACGGTCACCATAAAATGGATTGCCGTGGTGAAACCAGTAGCTGGTCCATGTTTTTTAAAAAGAACTGCCTTGCAATCCTCAAATCAGGTCAAATTAATTATCCATTTGATGTTTCTATTCCAATCTTTGATGCTTGTCATTTGGCCTTGTATTCCAGCCCTTTCTTAATCCAAGACTTCCTATTGAAACTCCCAAGACTGCCTTTCTTTTGTTTCTACATGGCTCCTTTTCCCTCTCCCCACACTCCTCTCTATGGTTCTGTGTATAGTTGTCACACACACACACACGCACACATATATGCAATTTATAATATACATATTTGTATTATAGACAACAACGTCATTTACAAATCTCGATGTCACCCTCTCTTCCTTTAAATGTTGCGCAACTATATCTTCGCCCAAATATTTTAACTCACTTTTTGCTCGATGGCCGTGTGATTGATTCCATGTCTCTGACTATTGTTATTATTATTTGGTCGACTTGCTGTATTTGTATTTTCTCACATTCCGCAACTATCCTGCATGATTTCTTCCACATCAGAGAAAACTGCTATGTATGTGTCATGTGTCACTGACCCCACAATGCTGCAACTACTAACCATATTGGAAACAACTTGAATTTTGATAGCTGGCGTCGGCCTACCTTAGCCATAAACTATTATTGCTTTGTAATTAAATTTGCCACATTTTGGTTTTTGTTAGGTGGGTTGGGTTCAAGTTTTTTTATGTCAAACGATAGATTTGTTAGATAAGATGTTAGATTAGGAAGTCGACGGGGTTCAAACCCACACCATGGTGCAAGGGCATCAATTTTCTTCACCACTATGGTAGAGGGCCACTTGCGGGTTCAAGTTTTCTAACTCTGCAAATATTTACCACATTAATATTGTGATTATGTTAAGCTAATTAAGATAATTACTAATAATCAAGGTAATTAAGATAATTACTAATGTGATTTATAATATAATGTTGCAGGTTACATGGGTTGAGCATGCAGAGTACGATGAGAGCCAAGTCCACCACCTATACCGACCCTTGTTAAGTTCCGGCATGGGCTTCGGCGCCCAACGGTGGGTTGCCACCCTTCAACGCCAATCCGAGTGCCAGGCCATTCTCATGTCCTCCTCGGTCCCCTCCCGCGACCACACTGGTAATTTATCAATCTAACATTTTTAATGAATTGATTAATGTGGATAATGTTTGTTGATATAATTAGTTGTGTATTTTTTGTAATAGCTATCACTGCCAGCGGAAGGAGGAGCATGCTGAAGCTGGCGCATCGGATGACGGACAACTTCTGTGCCGGGGTGTGTGCGTCGACGGTGCACAAATGGACCAAGCTGAACGCCGGGAATGTCGACGAGGACGTCAGGGTCATGACTCGGGAAAGCCTAGACGACCCTGGTGAGCCGCCCGGTGTCGTGCTCAGCGCTGCCACTTCGGTCTGGCTGCCAGTCTCCCCACAGAGGCTATTTGATTTCTTGCGCGATGAGCGACTAAGGAGCGAGTGGGACATACTCTCCAACGGTGGGCCTATGCAGGAGATGGCCCACATCGCCAAGGGCCAGGACCCCGGCAACTGCGTCTCCCTCCTGCGCGCCAGAGTACGTTTCATTTTCTCTACAAAATCGAATTATTTATTTTTCAAAAATGTTATTTTTACCGTCTAGTTATACTATTACTTGTACTATATTTCTAATAGTGATAAGACCTACATAAGATGGTGAGTATAAATGATAGTACAACTAGATGGTAACTGTAGCATTACTCTTTGTTATTTATAATGACGAATGTGTCCTTGCTGGGGAAGGGGTGAGTGAGGCAATGTGTTTATGGGTGGGGGTGTAAAAAGGTGAATGTGGAAAGGACAAGGTTGGAATTTGGCAGTATGTATAGGGACGTTTTGGGGTGGCAGAGAGCAGACAATGGAGACGGTGTTTGTTTCGGTAGTATCCAAAAAAAGTCAAAATTCAAGGACGGGGATTGTCAACTTCTTGTGTCGTTACTTTCTGACCTCACCTTTTACCATTTATTTATTTAATTTTATTTAATTTGAAAAAAAATAAATAAATAAAAAGTAAAAAAGTACGGCTAGTGAGGTCAGGGTTTGACTCTTAAATCATAAAGTGGCATACGTGTAAAATAATGGGATACTGAGGGTATTGTGTTTGTGATGGTACAGGCAAACGCAAACCAAGGTAGCATGCTGATCCTACAAGAGACATGCATAGACGCGGCAGGGTCTCTTGTTGTGTACGCGCCTGTTGACATTCCGGCCATGCACGTGGTTATGAACGGCGGGGACTCCGCCTATGTGGCGCTCCTGCCATCCGGGTTCGCAATTGTCCCTGATGGCCCGGGCTCGCGCGGGCCCATGTTTGGCAAAGGTGGCAGTCACGGCAGCGGCAACAGTGGCGGTGGCGTTGACGACGGTGTCCATAGAGTGAGCGGGTCCCTCCTGACGATGACGTTTCAGATCCTGGTGAACAGCCTGCCGACGGCCAAGCTGACCGTGGAGTCGGTGGAGACGGTGAACCACCTCATATCCTGTACCGTCCAGAAGATCAAGGCCGCCCTCCATTGTGAGAGCTGATCATCTATCCGATCGTATATCCTGTGTGGGGTCACGTGGGCATCACGTGATCCAACCTCACCCTGTAGCTTTTGTGTTTTTGTTAGGAGACTTTTATTAATGTGGTTGTGCATGTGCTGGTGGCGGTGGCGGTGGCGGTGTAAGTTATATTAGGCGGCGGTGCATGATGAGTGAATGTGGTGGGGGTATTGAGTCAAGAACGAACCGCACTGGAGAGTCCTTGCATGGTGATAAGGATACATGAAACTTGCACGCACGTGTGATGACTTGCACACGTGTTTGGGGAGTGCGTTCTTAGCACAAGGCAAGGCTGGTGGTTCGGGTATTGACTCGGGTCCACCCCTGGTTTTAAATCCAGAAAATGAGTCTGGCTCGACATGGATTGTGAAAAGCTAAATAGTGTTGGAGAAATTGACCCTTTTTGGAGTTATATATTTTAGTTGTTTTGTGAATTTAATTTTTGGGGTAAATTACATTTTACATTCTTAGGTTTGGGATGAATTTCAATTCCTTACAACATTTGTAAAACATTTCAATTTTATACATTTATTTATCATTTTATTTCAATTTTATGCATTCGTTAGAAAATCTGTTAGGTAAATCGTTAAATGATGATGTGGCAAATATGAGATCTACATTTGTTTTAACGTAGTTGTCAAAATTGTGCTACATGGCAAAAAAATTAATTTTTTATGCATTTAAAATATAATAATATTTACCCTATTTAAATTTAAAAAAAAAAAAAAAAACCAAACAAACTTGGAAAACCCAAAAACCCATCTTCTCCTTCCCTTCCTCACTTTCACCGAGCCCAAACCCCTCCACCTCCGATGCTCTTCACCACCACCATGTCCAACCCTTTCCTTCTCACACTCCTCCACCTAGTTGTCGTAATCAGGGCCCACTCCGACCATCCTCCCTTCTCTTTCCCCAGAGACCCACTATCTTCACTACTTGTTCAAGCCCAATCGGGACTCGCAAACCCCTTCACATCAAATCTGAAACAAACCCACCAACCCACCAACCAAATCAGAAAGAATCACAAAAAAAACAATGAAAAAATTGCAAGTAAATGCAAAATAACAAGAGAGAGAGAGAGATGTCAGAGATAGTGAAGGAAAGGGAGGTGAGGGGTTGAGTGGCGGTGGGGGGAGGGGGCTAAGGGAAGGGAAGGAGTTGGAAGTGGGGCTCCATAAATGGTTCGGATAGAAGGATTTGGGTTCCGGTTTGGCGTCGTCTTCGGCGGTGGGGCTTGGCCAAGGAAGGGGAGATGGAGAGAGTGGAGGAGGGAGAAGGTGGGTCAGGAAGGTGAAGAGGGAGGAGTGGTCTAGGGGCTGCGATGGTGATGGGGAAGGGCTGCGGTGGTGATGGGAGGAGAGGGAGGTGGGTCGGGGGGGGGGGGGGGTTGGGGAAGGGGGGAGGTGTAGGTTTCTAGGTGGGAAGGTGGGTTTCAATTTGGTTTTCATTTTTTTAAAATTTTTTTAGGGTAAATTATTATAATATTTTAAATGAATAAAAAAAATTTGCCACATGGCACAAATTTGGCAGCCACATGGCACAAATGTGGTCTCCACGTCAGCTCTTAACAGATCAATAGATGGAAAATGTAATGGATGTATTCTATTGAAATAAAATAGTACGTGAGGTATAAAAGTGAAATGTTTTGAAGATGTTGTATGAAATTGTAATAGATTTCAAACCTAAGATGGTAAAGTGTAATGTAATTTACCCTAATTTCTATGTTAATATGTGATCATTTTGATGTTGATGACACACAGTTCATGTTATCAGATTCGGTTTTGCAATTTGTGTTAATCAAAGTAATTTAAAATATCGTAATTATTCTCTCACTTTCTAAGTTTGAACAAAAGAATTAAGGGCAAAAATAAATTCAGTCTATGCAAAAGTAATGTGCAGAAATTATTTGCTACTTGTTACATTTTTTTTTTTTTTTTTATGTTGACAAAAATTGGTGACTATTGTTATTTAGTAGTATTGTTTAGTAATATTTTTCTTTATATATAAATGAGAACTCCTTAGTTTGAATTTTTTTAGATGACGGGTTTGATATTAAGTTTTTTTTTCCTCTTCTAATGTAAACACCTCAATGTATAAAAATGTAATTATCTACTATTTTTACTTTTGTACCATCTTTTAGGGAAAAAGTTAAAATTTAAGTGGTCATGGTGGGTGAGTGAATGTGGTGGAGGCAATAAAATAAGGGCAAGAGGAAAGATTATTCGATGTGTTGTGAACACGGTCTGGTACAACATGTGTAATAATATAATTGGCTCGAAACTTGAAAAAAGAATTCAATTAATTGTATTATGACATTTGACATATCAGGTCGTGTTTATGGCATATTGAAATGTTTCTCCAAAAGAAGGTAAGGCGAAGAAATGGGGAGGCAAATTGTCTGCCCTCTTGTTTGGGTGCCCTTTCCATCTTCTCCTATTTTTTGCGGTCACGGTTAAGCCACGTCAATATTTTATATTGATTTTTTTTTTTATAGAGATAATAAGACAAAAAACAATAAGAATATAAAATGTTGACGTGGCTTAACCGTGATCGCACAAATAGGAGGGGATGGAAAGGGCATCTAAACAGGAGGGCAGACAATCTGCCTCCAAGAAATGGTGCTTTCAATTAATGCCCAGTTTTTTGTGTTGTTGCCTATTACATAAGTAGGCATCAACTATTTCAGATGTTGACACATGCGTACATTTGTGAAGCGTTATCTGATCATCTCACAACTACTCATAATTCACGTATGATAGTTGACAGAGAGTATGGTACCGTTTTGGTATCAGAGAGAGAGAGAGAGAGAGCACTGTTAAGCAGAATAAGCATGAATTGTTGTTGCTTTGATTGGATACAATCAATAGATATGATGGATAAGCCAGATGGATCAGATCCTGTAAAGTTTGGTCAGTTGGAAGTTGGACGGTGAATATATTCTGTGTGATTTGATGAGTTATTTTCCTTTTTGCAAATTATAGTTCAACGCATACGTAGTAAATTCGCATAAAATACATATTAAAACTAGATTTGCGCATCATTGTGGAGAGAAAGTATGCACAAACTTGACTATCTGTAAAACAGAAGATAACCGTAAAGTAACCTTGGCACCCGTAGGGTGCTGTCAAAGTCACTCTAATGGTCAAGTTAGTATGCAAATTATGAGACTCAAGCAGTAGGCAAGAAAATAAAGTATGCGATAATTGCATAACCAGTGATAAACCCCAGAATGGTGTTATAGTCGTCGAGAGAGATGGATAGAAAATATATGTTAACTAGGAGAGTCTCAGAGGATATATGAGAGTAGATATTGCATCCTCTTAGAAGCTTAATTACTTGCAGTCCACACCAAATCCCTAAATTGTTGGAATCTCCAATAATATAGGAGACTTGGTTGATTTCGTACTTGATCAAGTATCCCTATCCACTTCTCTCCCTCTCTTTCCTTTTTCATGAAAAACACTTAATTGTTTGTTAATTAAAAAAAAAATATATATATATATATATATATAATTTCATAACTTATTTTCACAGATATAGTGTCAATTCTAGAAATCGTGATCACTGCTAGATGCAATGTTACTTCAAGAAATCGTGACTACTATTTCTAAAAAATCGGGATTACTATTTCTAAAAAAAGTGAACTATTTGTATAAATAATGTCATTGTCTATAAATGGTGACTACTGTTTCTTTAAATAGTGACGACTATTTTCTAGAAATTTATTATTTTGAAGAAAAAAATATTTTTTTATTAAAAATTTGTTGATAAAAAATGATAAATAATTCATATTATTATGTCTTGAAAATTATGATTAAGTATTCAATTTTATACATAACAAAAAAAAAAAACAAAAAAGCGAGGGACGGAAGGAGTGACATGAGAAAGAGAGAGGAGAGAGATGTTGGTGTTCCGGTGCAAGAGAAGATAATGATGAATGAAGAGAGAGGGGTGGGGACATGCAAATCTTGCATGTCAGGTTTTTTTTATCCCTCTTTTTTTTTTTTTTTTTTTTTCATTTTCATTAAAGTTCCAGTCTTTTTCATTAAATAAAGTTATTAAGTTATTTTTTGTTAAAAAATGGTTTAAAGAAACCCTTTTCATTAAACTCCTTAAAAAAAAGGGTACTAAAACAGGTAACGTGGCTTATATTCAGTTATAAGATAACATTAGCTTTGTAGTTACGGTGAGGAAAGGTGGGGAAGAAAGAGGGGCAGGGACATGCGGGTCCCATGCGTCAGGTTTTTTTTCCTTATTATGTTAAAGTTTTGTCATTTTCATTAAAGTTCAAACCATTTTCATGAAATAAAGTTATTAAGTTATTTTTTATTAATAAAAAGTTTAAAGAAACCCTATTCATTAAAACTTCCTAAAAAGGTAATAAAACAGATAACATGGCTTACATTAGCTTTGTAGTTAATTAAGGGTATTTTTTTAGTTTTAGGGGAGTGTATCCAATTGAGATTTTGATGGGTTTTAAAAGAATTTAGAAATCTAGGTTATTCAATTAAGATTATAAATGAATATGTCAAACTCTATATTCAATCTTGATTTTTAGAGAGTCTGTCAAAATCTAGTGGTATTCAATTTCCAGTTTTTTAAATGTTCCATAATCTAGTTGTATTCAAAATTTAGGAGTTGGAGGATTTTAGTGGATTCTAGAGTGAAAATTATAAATACCAAAAGCCCTCATAAATCATGCCTCTACCCCTAAGATTTCATCATGATTTCTCCCTCTACAAAATATGAGCAAGCAGGTGAAGGTAACACACCCAGAAATCTTCAAACTTTTTTTTTTTTCTTTCAATTTTTCTATCTTCTATGTATAGCCAAGTCTTTATCTCATTTCACTTCAAGGAAGACAACCAGTAATCGATAATTTTCTTATCTTCCCCTCATGGCCAATTTTGTTTATTATTTGGTTTAAAGAACTCTAAATCTCAATTCAATTCAATCAAAGGCTAATCATCAATTTTGTAGCGACCGTCCCTAAAAATTATGATTTTTATAATTTTAAATGTGAATTTACGGAAATGCCCTTTGAGGCAAAGACGTTGACTTTTGTTGACCATCTTGTCACATCATGTAAGGTTTGTTTTCTTGGCATATACTGGTAGTACTCGTCGCTACGGACGCGTGGGCGCAAACAGAATGCAATTTGGAGTTATAATGAAGGAGATATTATCGTTTAAAGTTGGGGGCATTTTAGTAAATTAATTATTTCTAGAAAGCTCTAGATTTTTTAGCTTAATTTGGAAAGCCACGTGTGTGGCCCAGATTTAAAGACAGAAATGATGGGCGGTGGAGATGGAGTATAAAGGAGAGAAATGAGGGAGGAATCGGACTAATCAAAAAATGATAGATGAGAGGGTGACCAATCAAAGAAGAAAGAAAGGAGGGGAACGGAAGGAGGTGCAGAGCACCCAACCAATTTGACCCGTATACCTATGACAACCTGGTTTCGAACAGGTGGAATTTTCCGGCGATACTCATCCAATTTTCAAGCAATTTTCACCCATTCACCACCACCAAACCTCA